TTCTTTCTTTCTTTCTTTCTTTCTTTCTTTCTTTCTTTCTTTCTGTCTGTCTGTCTGTCTTTCTGTCTTTCTTTCTCCCAAAGATAATTATCTTCAGTTGAATTTTAAGGATATTTTTTGCTGCTAGTTTCAGTTTAGAACAATCTGGAGCAGAGACCAATGTCAAGATACAATCCTAAACTAAGCAGCAAGTCCTGATAAATTGTGAAGAGTTTAAATGTGCTTTAAAGTTTTATTTTGATTAGTGTTTGGTTCTATTTGCTTGCTTAATACCTGCCATGTCCTTTATATTGTGCTGAGCAGATACTTATATACCTTTGAAAATCATACTTTGCCAGGTCAAGTGTAATTTACTTTTTTGACCATCAAGTTTGAATCAGTTCTTTTCCTTGGAATAGTCTTTTGAATCCTTGGGTGAGCTTTCTCAAAACAGGGAACTTTCTCAATCTCTAGTTTGAAGATCTTGGATATTAACCTTTTCAGTAAAGAGAGCATCTTTAGCTGCATGAGCAGTATATCTTTGCCAATTGTCAGAAATTCAGAAGCCTTGAATAATCAAAACCAAGCTTTCAGTTCTCTATTTTCTAGATTATAGATGTGTAATTAAAAACTGCTTAGTGGAAGGAATAGTCTTCCAAGAAGCAGCAGAATTCATCCGGAAACTCATAGGAAAGTGAAATACCTGAATTTTTGAGGTATTAAATACGTGCTGTAGAAGCAAAATGATCTGCTTGCTTGTACAGTAAGTACATCCTGTTTTGTTTCTTCCCCCTTTTCAAGTACACTCTAAAGCCCTTTTTTCCTCTCTGATTTTGAACAGTGTATGTTTTGAGAGCGGGCCTGTCAAAAACAGTGAGACCCCAAGCATTTAAAATGCTCCCTTGGAATGGAGCAACAAGAAGCCTCTGGAAAGGTAAAATATTTATAGTAAAGCTATGAAGAAAGAATATGGGTATGTTAAAACTGATCCAGTGATAACCACACAAATAATCACTCTCTTCAGTGCGGCATCAGCTGATGACAAAACACTCGTTTTGCATCTGTATTCCTGAAAACACCTGTTTTTGGACAACTGGGATGTTTAAGCCTGGAGGATCCCAGGCTCTTTTTATCTTAGCAGTAGGTGGTGTATTCCCGAGCTAATTGTGCTGTATTGATCCGATGCTGCAGGTTCAGCATCAAAGAAACGCTGCCTGTAGGAAATGTCTCTAGGCTGTGGAAGTCTGTGTTGCAGGGTCAGGCCTCTGCAAGAGCTGAGCTGCAGCATCAGTGGCTCCTGAATGGGAGTAGAAGACCCTGGGTTGCCTTTTTCCTCAGGAAGAGGCCCCTTTTTTCCTTCTTTTACTAGCGTCCTCCTCTTATGGCTCGTGTAGAGCTTTACTTTACATTTGCAGCAAAACATCTGTGGATTTATTGCCATGGGTCTGCCGCGCCTCTGTGATTTCTGTCTAGTTCAGAGGTGAATAACCTTGGGCACATAACAAAGAGAAGAAGGCAGCGTGAAAGCCTTTTTATGCGTACGAAGTTTGCCTCCAGCCCTGGCTCCTGTGCGTTGCCTTTTCCTTCAGCGCCGGAGAGGGTAGAATGTATTTACAGCTCCTCAGATTCGCCCGTGCACTCATGCAGCTCAGAGCCCAGAATAACTCTCTTGGGGATACTAATCTAGCGCAGGATTATCTTTCTAAAATTGTTAATCAGATGTGGTCCCCGGGGGACCTTTCACCTGAACTTGCCACCTAGTTTCTGTTTGCCAGGGCCTCTCGGAGCTCAGCGCGGGAGGCTGATGGGCTTTGACAGGAAGTGCTTGCGCGAGATCCCGGGAGGTGGCAGGGTCCTCTGCTCTCAACGGTGGGTCTGTGCGCGGCGGGGCACGGCAGCGACGGGCTGCCTCATCCTGCCCTCCTCGTGCGCTGCTCCGGCCGTGGCCGCCCGGGAAAGGCTGCAGCGCGGCCGGCTCCGAGGGAGCAGCTCCTGCCGGCGCCGCAGGAGCAGCGTGCGCTGGACACTTACTGTGACATTGCTCCAAAGCACCTGCCGTTTGGTTTTGCTTGTTTTTAACCATTCGCTTCCTGACTCTTCCTGCTTCTGAAATGAGCCCGCCTACTGTTTGGGCAGACGTATATTTTTCCTCCTCTGTAGAAAAAATGTGCTTTCACTGGCTACTGCTTGCATGTAGGACTATAATTTTTAGTCATACAATTTATTGTGGCCTGGATTTTTCCGCTCCTATGGTTATGAATACCATTTTATATATATATATATATTTTTTGCAATGTGTTCTGGTAGCTGTACGTATTAGTTATTTAAGTGCATGGGAAGTGCCAGTGGAACTGCGAAAGAAACAAATTAAGTGTTTGACTGTTACAACTAATTCCATACATAAATCCCAGTTTTGCTGTGCAATGCATATATATTTATATATTTAAGGGGGAAATTAACTGTTTTACTGACTCATGTACTGAATTAATCATGAGCTAGGTAGTTTGGGAGCCTGAGTGGCTGTGTTGATGTGTTTTTGCATTAAATTGGAGCTTCTGATTTCTAACCTGAAAGTTAATTGCTCTGACTTAGATCACTGGAGGAAGCTGCACAGAGCGGTTGAAATGAAGGAATATAGTGGATGTGGTATAAAAATAACTTTCAGGATATGTGCCTTACCCGCCTAACTTGTCATAGTTTTGAAAACTGTATTGAAGGAAGAAAGGGTACTCACTTGTGGCGATTTGGCTGGTTGTCTTTCTGGCAAGCTATAAAATACTGTGCTGCTGAGTGTGGAAGTTGCTTCAGTGTCCTCCACGTTACTGTTGAAAACATGCTCGGGAAAATAAGAGTGGCCTTCCTTTTCCTCAGAGCCTTCTTCCCCTTCATGCACTTGCGCACACATCCTGTCAAGTCTACCTTGAATAAACATTGTTAAAATGAGTAGTTGCTCCTGCATGCGGCTGCTTCTCAGCCCCCCTAGCAGAGGAGAGAGCCACAATCACTAAAACTGCACGACCAGGCCTTTAGTGAGGCCCGTAGCCTCTTCGCTGTTTGACGGCTGCCAGCTTGGTGAAGAGCAGTTGAACTCTGTTCTAGTTCTTGCCTGTCATGAGAGCTACTTCTTAAACTGGGAGCACTTCCCACCAGCGACAGTGTCCCTTGTTAATGTGGGGCACTGTCTAACGCATTGCATTGCCATAGCAATAAATAGCAGTTAATTCATAATGATCAGCCCTGGAGGTTGCAGAAGTCTCTTTGAGATCATAGTTTGATGATGATGACTGAGCATCTATTTTGCTCTAAAAAAAGTATTATTTATTGGCATTGCCCCATAGGTGGGTGGAAGCCAGTTATCTTTTAGATCCTGCATTCATAAGGATAAAAGCCAGAAAAACAAGTCTGAGCACATTTGACTAGGATGTTTGTCCACTGAGAAGCACAAAGAAAGGAAACTTGTCATGAGACTCTTGTGTTCCCCTCTCAGCTTTCAGGTGACGCTGTGGTGGTTCAGAGTTGGTCTTCTCCCAATGAGAGGAGTTGATCCACGCCCATCTCTATTAGCTAAAGATATGCCACTTTTCATAAAACTGTTTCATGAAACACACACATATAATCACAAATATAATTGTACAGGAGATCTTTCTTGCTAGTCTCTGTGTATTAAAGAAAAAGAAGTTACACTGAAATTGTCTTCTGAATTTTATGGCATCACTCTCTTGTACCATGCATTGGCATGCTGAATTTGATTAACTTCCAGTCAAGTTTCACTGACTGTTTGTTCTTAAAGCCATTTCTTTCTTCCTACATGAGATTTTAAGATGGATCACAGCTCACTAAAGCAAAATGAGGGTTAATGCCCATGTGCGTTTGCGATAGTGGGAGTTTTCTGCAAATATTTTTTGGTGTTCTGGTGTTGACTATCTGGTGTTGCTTCATGGTCAGTAGTTGTGAATTGAAGTTTTTGTGTCATTCCTAGCCAGTTTTAGTTAGCTGAGCTCCTGGAGGCAGTACTGGAGTGGGAGTTACCTTCCCTTTGCCTCCCTTGCTGTATGACTTTTTATAGGCCTTCTTCCTATCTCTTGCTGCATGTAGCACACAGATCATTTGTGTAGTTTTAATTAAAAAAGAACTAAAAAGACACATGTGGAAGGGCAGATGTGGGAAAGTAAAGCGGTTGACTTCAGTCATCTGAGACAAATTTAAACCAAACCTGCCTGGCAGAAACTGCTGTTCTTTTCAGTTTACGGCCAATAAATGCCATCCGCTAGTCCAGGTTACTGCCAGCTCGCAGTGTCCGTGTTCCTGGTGGTTCCTTGCTTGTCCATCAGCCACACACGGGGTGAGGCAGCGCAGCTTGGCCGCTACTGATGACCGAGGGCTGTTCCTGCTGCAGAGGTGCGAGGTGGGAAATACCCTCGCTGCAAGAGTGGGAGCAAAACGGCAGAGGGAAGAGAGCCCTGGAGGGCCTGTAAACCACCCCCCACACATGCGCTGAGGTCTCGGTTTCATTTTACTGTCGAGGTGGATTAGCAGCTTGTTGCTGCCGGCAAGCCTGGCGTCCTCCTCCTGCGCCAAGCTGCGCTGTCCCGGGAAGCTACTGGACTTTGAGTACGGCAGAAGAGGCAGCAGCAAAGCCTGTTCTGCTGGGGTGATGGGGCCGAGTCCGGTCTCGGTGTGCTGTGTGTGCGGGAGATGCAGCTGGTGGGAGCGGGAGATGGTGGTAGGGGAGGCATGGAGGAGCCTGTCACCCGCTCACGCTGCAGTGGGAAACTGCAGGCAAAGGCAGGTGCCTGGCTCTTCTAAACCACTTGTGTGTCTTGGTTGTGCTTAATCCTGGTCTCTGTAATGTCTTCTGAATGCTTCTGTTTGCCTATCAATGTAGAAAGTATCACTACATTTCTTAATCGTGTGATTGTGCCTTTCCGGGCATTTCCTGCAGCCAATTAAGCAGCCAGTTAAGACGTGGTGGTTCGTCACGGCCTTGCCCTCTGCTTTGCGGTGCCACGCGCACCTCTCAGCATCCGCGCTGCCGCTGCTGGAAGGAACCGCTGCAGTGTTAAAGTTCATAAAATGCCTTGTCAGAATATGCTCGCAGCGCCGTGCGGAATATAGCAGCGCTGGCAAACACGGAGGACCCCGCTTTTTCTGCATTTCTGAAGGCTGAGCTAACACCCATTGCTAGGTAGGACATGACTGTACCCCGTTTCTTGATAAAGGGGTGATTGCATGGTTTTGCTTAGGCTGATTTGAGCAACTGGAGACTGCAGGTAGACTGGGTTAGGCTGTTCATGAAGCCTCTGCTAGGGATGGTTAGCGTCTCCTCTTTCTTTGTACTTGCTTGTGGTGTGTGAATGTCTGACATACTCTGTCTATTTGTATCTTTCCTCAGCCCTCTCGGAGCGCGTATGTGCAAGCGCGCGAGCACGAGTCCCTGCCTTCACCACTTCCTTCTCCTTTCTGCTGAGCCGTGGGGCTGCCCCTCTCGGGACGTGTACGGGTCCTTTCGTTTTGGCGCACGTGACAGCGCCTCATTTGGTCTCAGCAGGACCTGTGGCGAATGGAGGCCCTAAATGGAGGGCTTGGTAAAGCGAGCTGGGCTGTGGGGCTGCAGGAGGGCGCGTGGGCTGCTCTGTGTGGGATCTGGAGAGCTTTGCTGTTCCAGAAAGTGTCCTGCTACCCCCAAGCTGAGAGGGGCTTGTGGGGGAGCTCAGTCTGCCTTCTGTTGAAAAGTATTTGTTGCTATTGCGAGGTTGCAAACTTCCAGGAGCAGGAGGAGACAGAACTTAAATTCTGCAGAACTTGAGGACTTGGCTCTGCCCTCTTCCTCTCCCCAAATTACCCCAAATTCACAACCTGCGTTGCCTAATGTAAGATGCTGCTGATACTAATGCTCATGCAGAACTGTGATGCTTTATGTAGCTGTCTGGTTGCATCACTCGAAATGTATATTGTATCCATGAGAATTCAAATCTGAGGTTTGCCATAAAAAAAAAAGAAGTATTTATATACGGGTTTCTCTGAATCAGCTAGGTGAGGAAGTATGTGTGTGTATATGTGGAAACTGCTGTGTGTTCTGCCTTCTTCCTGACATCCCGGTTGCTATAGTGCAGTGATCTATTTGTGAACACATAGAAGATCATTGCTATAGTTAAAAGAAACAGTGTTTCCTGGCCATAACTTCCTGAGCAATCTCTTCTTCTGGAGACCCGAGCTCCAGCTCTCGTCGATTCAATCGTGTTCCCTGGGACTCCGGGAATGACACTGTAACAGGAGCTTCCTCTAGTTTGTTGCTTTTGCCCACCGGCGTGTTCAATAATATTTAAAAATAGTTTCTCTATTTAAATCTAATGCATGACTATTATTCACCGTACATTCCAATGCTTCAGCCATCTTCCTAGCAGAGCGTCTAGCTGTGCAGTGTGTTGTGGCAGTGTGTCCTGTGTTTGCTTCTGGAATGTGTGATTCCCCTGCTCTCGCACATACCAACACGCGCAGATATCCATGCACCTGCCCAGCCAGGCAAAAATATAGGAAATGAACCAGCAATGTTAGAGTTCGCTCTGAACTGCTGTACGATTTTTTTTTTCCTCCTCCCTGCAGGTGTGAATGAGGGAAGCTCTCTGCAGTGTTTAGTGTCCAGTTTTCCCGGCTCCGAAGAGAAGCAGCGTCGCGATGCCCCCTCCTGCTGATATAGTGAAGGTGGCGATAGAATGGCCAGGTGCCTTCCCCAAGTTGATGGAAATCGATCAAGTAAGTGCCCCCGCGTGCCCACCTGTACACGAGTTCCTCTGGGTGCCTGCATTGATGTTGATGTTGCTGTGAGTATGTATGCTGTGAAAAAGGTGGTTTTATGAAGGGTGTAACCCTCTTCCTCTGTTTCTGTGCTGAATATTTTTGATGTGCTTAGCTAGAGGGGCGGGGGGGTGCCTTTTTTTTTTTTAAAGCTGCTTCAATAAGGTGTTTGTTGCATGTGTGACCCACTTAATGTCTTTGTGCCTTAGTTTGTTCAACTGTAAAATTGTGGCAATGTTGTTACCTCTTGGTGTAAAGTCTTTTCAAATCTTTGCAGCTAGTACCTTTTATTTGTAGTATGATCCCTGAATGGCTGCAGCAAGGTCTGATTCGGGAACTTGAGCAGTGGTATCCAGGAGCAGGAGAATTTGTGTTTTCCATACAGATGTATCTCATGGGTAGTCTGGGGCAGGTGGTTAGTCCTAACGTAAAGGCCACATGAACAAAACTGATCTGGGACGGTATGAGGAGCTAACAAACGCAGATTTATGGACTAAAAACTCGTTGTAGGACATATACAGGGAGGAGAACAGTTTAAGTTATACAAGTGCCATGCTTTATGCTTTGGACTTATCTGAGATTGTTTGTGGCATAAACATTGATATTAAAAGAAACCTTTTTAATATTAAACATCTTATAATTTATTGACATCTTACTCCATGATACCTGCACAGAATTATTATTCTAGTAAATACTGTATAGAGCAAAGGAGGTCCTGCACGCAGGTAATAGCGCCTCGATCCCGATCCATCTGGTGACTGAGAACATTACAAAGTTCTGATGGAGGGCAGAAAATTTAAAATTTATGCAGAAAACATTTTCCTGAAATGGAGTCCTAATTTCGTCACGCAGTGTATCACTGCTGGCTAGTTCCCCTGAGGCATAAGTCTGTGTAAACTTGGGAGATACATGAGACTGGAGAATGGCTGCAGTACCAGCAGTCGGATTTTCAGGCACACAGAGCCCGAAACTCCCTATAGAAGAAAGGGTTGCTCGCAGTGTTTAGCACTTTATGGATTGGTTTACAGACCTGCCAAGGTTCTCTGTTTTCATTTGCCAAAAATTTTTAGTAAGCATATCTTTATAGATACAAATCTTTTGCCTTCTGGAGTGAAAAATGTTTTCCTTTTTTCTTCTTATATAACAAATGGTAGACATGGTGCACACTGTGCTCAGGGAAGGATGTATGTTAGTCATGAGGAACAACAGCTCACTGCTATCAAGAACAGTGAGGACAAAAATGAAAAAGTATTATTCAACTCCTTTTCAAGCAGCAGTAAAATAATACCAAAAACGTTTGCGCTTTTAATTTATAAAAGGGCTTAAAGTAATTCTCCAAACAAAACTCAGGCCTTATCTAATACAATACTTGCTGCTGTGGAACCTTGTTTTTATGATACAAGGTTAGAGGGGACAAGGAGGAGCAAGGCTGGCTTACGTGGTGTAGAGCTCTTCAAACCCAGCCTGAGAGGAAAAACAAGTTATCTGCAGCTTCCCCAAGCCTGTTAAAGTGAACAGTAGCCTTACTAGTGGTGTGTGGGGAGGCGAGGGAGTGAGGGTTGGGAGCCTCGTCCCTTCCCTTTCTAGCATGGAAGGCACAGACATGCCAACAAGAAACAACGATGGCAAAGCAGCATCCCTTTTGAGTAAGCGTTCACACAGACCTGCACGTTTGCCCAGGATGGGGATGAGGGAAGTGGGGGAATGAACCCTGAGACAGCACAGAGTGATACACACGTGTAAGTGTACAGCTCTGCTCTTGGTTCATGTAATGCTAAGTTTTCCCCAATCTGTTCCCTTTAAACATCTATTTAGTTGAAGAGCTCTAGTGAGAGAATATGATTCATACCTCAGATAGCTTGTGCTCTACGAGAAGATAAAGGAGAGGAAGGGAAAGGGAGGGAGAGAAGAGAAATGTCCTGCCCATTGATCAAACTCTGCAGCCAAAGAGCACAGTGCCTGTCTTCCAGGTGGGGCCTGCTCGTTGAAGCACCATCTGACATGTCATTCAGAAAACTCTAAAAGCTCCGATTTACCCTTTTCTTCCTTCCATAATCACTTACTAACAAGATAAGCAGTATTTAAAAGGACAGCATTGTAGGATTGTTTAGCACATCAAACCTCATTGCAGTGTACCGTACGTTCTTTATCTTTCAGTGTACCAAGGCTGTTCTGAATATGGAACTAAAAATTCCGTGTAAGAGATTAGAGAAAAATTGTTATTTTTCAGGTTGCCTGTTATATATGCTTGCTGGCAGTTTTCTGTTTGCATTTGCACAGTAACCCATGTCACCTGCTGTGTATGTGCATATTTTTGTCAGCAATGAAGAAAAGAAAATACTGTCAAAGCGAGGAATTGTCACTGCAAAGCCACAGCAATTGACTGTGGTATATTGAAAGGTGTTGAACCTGGAAATAGTTGGAAAGTATTTTTTTCCATTAAATGTTAGTAAGTTTTGCATCAAAAACTTTCTGTTCAAGCTTATTTCATGCAAGCTGAGCTTTGTGAAGCACCAACCTTTTTTAGTTGATACTTTGCATTACATTTCTGTAGGATTGGTGACCTGGGTTCGTCCTTGATGGTTTTAACTTTAAGCACAGAAAATTACCCTTGCTGAGTTAAGGAGACTCTTTGCCTGTGCAATTAATATATAATGAAATGCTTTGCTTGAGCCAGACTGTTGCCAGCATTTCTCATTCATTGAAATATGCTGTTTCATGTTTTGCAAGTGCTTCTTCCTGGAAAGATGCTTTAAACAAGGAGGGGAAAATTGCATATTAGTTACAGCTCCTCTCTTCTCAGGTAGGACTCATTAAGTCACATTAAACCTAGCAACTGCCTGTTTGCTGTACTTATTACCGCTCATTTTAGAGGATGAGCAAGGTAATGTACATTATGTGCTTTTCTGTGTTCTCCTTGAGAGACACACTTCCCTGAATTCACTTATTCTGTCCTGTAATGTCTGGGTTTTGTTATTTGAGTTTGTTCCTGCCCCCAAATCTCACAGAATCACAGAATGCAACCATTGGAAGGGAGGTTGGAAGGGGCCTCTAGAGATCATCTACTCCAACCCCCCTGCTCCAGCAGGGACACCTAGAGCACGTGGCACAGGGTGGCATCCAGGCGGGTTTTGAAGATCTCCAGAGAAGGAGACTCCACAACCTCTCTGGGCAGCCTGTTCCAGGGCTCTGTCACCCTCACAGGAAAGAAGTTCTTCTTCACCTGGAGGTAGAATCTCTGGTAGAAATTTGGAAAATAGTATCTACGCTTATTTTCCCCTCTCTGTAGTTTGACCTTCATACACTCTTGCTGTCAATGTTAATCTTGTGGTCAAAACTGACCCTTACTGAAAAGGTTTCATAATGAGTAAAGCTTGATAAATAAGGATGACCTTCCGCCTTTAAGGCCTCTGTTGTAAAAGACAAGGAGTACAAATAAGATAAGAAGTGTGTGAAATTGCATGGGGATCTTTTTGGTGGTTCAGTATGGAGGACAGTAAGTAAAAGACAGGATGACTGTGTATTACAATCTTCTTTCAGACTTCAGACTGATAACTCCAAAAGATGTTATGAGTAGGACTGTGTGGACTGTGCACAGAAAACCTGAGCTGTGGCCTCCTCTCTCCTTTCCTCACTTTCTCTGTCCAAAAGGCAGAAATGTTATTTATTCTTGCTTCAACATCAGTTTTTAAGTAAACCATTGCCAGTTTTAGGTTATCTAGATGTACTGCTCTGTCTTATTGTGTATTTACAGCTTTACCATTCCTGTTGCTGGAGAAGCAATATTCAGGAAAAGCACAGGATAGGTATCCTGGGGCAGTAACTGTTTTAGGTAGTACTATTCAAATCCACTTGTGCCTGTGTCTTATCACCGTGTGCTCCAGATAGATTGGTTTAAACTTGGGGATAAACTTCCTGACTGTTGGAGGTGAGCCCTGTTCCTGCCTGAAGGAACAGTCTGTGGATAAACTTGGCCATACTATTTCTTGCTCTGGATTTTCTTTTCTACCAGTTCACTTAGTCTATATGAAATTAATAGATGTGAATCTCTGCATTAGCAAATAGTAATAGTAAAACCCTATGTTTTGCTTTGCAGATTTGGTACAGTGACCAAAATTCACAGGAGTGCTCTTAAATGGTGGTTTCATATTAATAAAGTGCAATGCAGCACTTGGAAGGAACCATGGGTCAGTGTTTCTCAAACTGCCATGAGAAACGTAGTTCAGAAGGGCTTGTGAAATGCTTAATTAAAGAAAGAAAAAAGGCATATCATTTCTACCATGCGTGTGGAATAAGAATAGCTGTGGTTTTTGCAAGTGCTGTCACCAGTAATAACAGTATACCGATACCATCCTAGCATCACAGTCTAAATGTGTGCAGTATTAGCAAACACCATAATTGTTCAAGTGGTGAAAAAGAAAGGGATTCTGGTATCAGTTTATACTGGAGGCTGCTCCATGAAGTGTCACTCTCCAGGGTTAGTTCTGGCCCTGGACTTCGATCCTCTAAAAAGCTGAGGGGATAAAGGAGGGAAGAGCTTTCTACCTCCCACAAACCTGCAAACCTTACATGAACTGTCTTGTAAAAGTATCGCAGTAGCAGGAGTTACTGGTGCTTTTTTTTTGGTATCAGTGTTGTGAAGATTTCCAGTGTTATTGCACCTTGTGAGCTTAATGGAAATGCCCGTGCTGCCTGCTGCATTTGCTAGAGCAGCCCCTTTCCATCAGGCTGGAGAGATCCTCCTTGAAGGGGGCAGCCCCCTCGCAGGTCGTGCGTCTCCAGGAGTCTGACCCACGGCAGGTAACGCCCAAAGGAGGTTGCCTTTTCCAAAGGCTTGCAGTCACTTGGCTGCCTCGAGCCAGTTGACTGATGGTAGGGCTTATTTAAAGCCACCTTTTATGTTTTAAGCAAAGACTAGTAGTCATTTTATGATTTATTTGGGTTTTTTTTGGTATTGG